ATTTCATATCTATAAAAAAGATATATCTAAAACTACTCAGTTTTTAAATAAAAAAACATGCTTAATGTTGGACCTGTTGAGTACATACACATGTATATTAATTTGATGTTGCATTAACTACAGATGGCGGAAACATCGGAAACATCATAACCTCGTGGTATATTAATTTTTAAATTTAATTTATATTTGTCATTTATTATGTATACAATTTGCACAGTGAAGTAAATAAATATTGTTCAAAATGAGTCATATTATAGTAATACGAAGTTATAAACCAGGTGATGAAATCAATTGCAAAGAATTAATAAAAGCAGGCATTATGTCTTCCTTAAATACGACGTATTTTGGAATTATCTTTAAAGAATTAACATTCCAATTGATGATATTATTTGCTGCTATAATGTTCATTTTCTTTGGACTACCCTTAACAGTATGCCTCTTAGTTATTCCTCTTGTTATTTGTCTTGTGTATGTTGGAACTTACATAGGTTTCACTGCGAAAGCTATGGAAGTTAATGAAGAAGTTTCTAATATACCAAGGTACAGATTCTTTATATTTATGTTTTTAAATAATATTAAGAAGTTAAAATAAATTATATTTTGTTTTATTAATTTTCTATGTATTTCAATAACCTTATGGAGCTATCTTTAGTTTCTATAATTTCAAAAATTTATTTTTATGTAGAATTCATATAGAATGATAAATTAAAAGCTTCTTAATTTATCATAACAGGGTTTACATGTCTAATGCCTTTTCGTGCTTCTGGGTAGCTGAAGCATTTGAACCATATATAATGACACATAATCCAAAGAATATACATTACATCATAATGACAGAGCAACAGTTTCGTGATTCAAACATTGATATTTCATCTCAGGTTAAAAGGATTGTAGGAACTGTTGCCTTATGTAAAAGCTACAGATTAGACAAAGGTGCATGGATCAAAAGACTTTATGTACATCAGCAGTATAGAAGGAAAGGAATAGCATCGTGCCTTATAAATGTTGCTGTCCAATTTGCTGTTGACCAAGGATACAGTTGTACTAATCTTGTTGCCTCAGAATATACAGAAGGTGGAAGAGAATTATGTCTTAAGAAAGGTTTTGAATTACAACAAATATACCACAAACCTATTTTGGGTTCACTTATAACAATATTAATGTACGAGTTGACATACCAAATTAAACCTGGTGAAGATGATTATATACCTGCTGCTTATAGCAGATCAATGCTTAATCACTGAGAATAAGATCTGATGTTTTTTAAAATACTCAAATTTTGTGAAGTACATGTCTGACAATGAGTCCATATCTTCCAAGAAAATACATCTAATGACTGCATTTATAGTTTATTATGCCAAAATATTTCTATTTTATAATGTTGTATATATTAAAAATATAGTTTGACTAAGAAAGTTTATTACACAATTCTACATTTAACATGTTTAACATGATTATAATGTATATAGCATGTATGGTAGAGTAAAAAGAATATATTTTTCTCACTTTTTCATATTTTCCCAATACATCTGAACTTCTTTATTTTCCCAGTGTTTTTCTGTTATTTTATGCAAATATCTGAAAAAAAAATTGCTACATACATTATAGAAAACATTGTAGTTACTGTTTGTTAATTTTCTATAGAAGTGTAATTAGATTGCATTGTACGCTACTAATTAGTCATTGTGTTACTTTCATGGGGGTGAAGAGGATGTGTGAAGCAAATAGTCATATTTTAACTACTAATAACTCACCAACTTCATATCAGGTTGAAGTATTATAGAAAAGTGTGAAGACTTATGTCACAGAAATATGTAGATGTCAGATCAGAGACTTTAAAAGTCTTTGATAATGGGATTTACTGGCATATAGAACACAATGTTTATTTTTAAAACAAGTGAGCTTAAAATTCATAAAATAACATAGTAATCTATAAAGAAACTTGAACAAATATTATATGTCTTTAACAAAAGTGCAGGTGAAGACAAGTGTTTTCTTCAACTACATGCTAAAATATTAATTAGTATCAATTTAATTTAACCTTTATATTCGACTCATTAAATGCATAAGTAAAGTTGTACAACATTGCCCTATTTCTGATGTGAGTCTTGAATAATACTTTTATAAGGTTG